GATAAAAACAAAAAAAACAAGGAAACTGGTCCCAAAGAATCAATGTATAATAAGAAGAACACCTTGTCTTAGAAATTCAGATAGAAAGAAGGCCAGAGGGTACAGCATCTGAAACATTGGGATAAAGACAGAAAAGACAAGGGAACTGGTCCCAAAGAATCAATGTATAATAAGAAGAACACCTTGTCTTAGAAATTCAGATAAAAGAAAAAGAAGGAAACATTGGGATAAAAACAGAAAAGACAAGGAACTGGTCCCAAAAAAGATCAAGGAAAAGAAAGAACACCTTGGAAAATATATAAAGAAAGAAAATGAATGAAGAAAGAATCTGAAACAAAGGAAAGAAAGAAAGAAAAAAAGGAACTGGTCCCAAAGAATCAATGTATAATAAAAGAAAGAACACCTTGTCTTAGAAATTCAGATAGAAAAATGAAGGCCAGAAAGAAAGAAAGAAAGAATCTGAAACATTGGGATAAAAGACAAAAAAAGACAAGGAAAAGACAAGAAAAGATGGTCCCAAAGAATCAATGAATAATAAAGAAAGTAAGAACACCTTGTCTTAGAAATTCAGATAAAAAAACAAGAAAAGAAAGCCAGAGGGAATATATAAAGAATCTGAAACATTGGGATAAAGACAGAAAAAGAAAAAAGGAAACTGGTCCAAAAAATCAATGTAAAATAAGAACACCTTGTCTTAGAAATTCAGATAGAAAGAAGGCCAGAAGGTACAGCATCTGAAAGAAAGAAAGAAAAGACAAAAAGACAAGAAAAAAGAAAAAATCAATGTATAATAGAAAGAACACCTAGAGAATTATAAAGAAAAAATCAATGAAGAAAAAAGAAAGAAAGAAAGAAAGAAAGAAAGAAAAGATTGAATTGATATTGGGAAAAAACAAAAAAACAAGGAAAGAAAGAATGTATTGGAAGAAGAACATATTGTCTTATAAAATTCAGAAGAAAGAAAAGCCAGAAAGAAAGAAATCTGAAACATTGGGATAAGACAAGGAAAAAAAGAAACAATTGGAACTGAATCCCAAAAGAATCAATGTATAATAAGAAAGAAACAAAGAAAGAAAAAGAAAGACGAATTGTCTTAAAAAAGGAAAAAGAAAGAATCGGCCAGAGAATATATAAAGAATCTGAAAAATTGGGAAAAAAGAAAAAAAAAACAAAAAAAAAAAAAAGGTCCAAAAGAATCAATGTAAAAGAAAGAATCAATTCAGATAGAAGAATATATAAAGAATAAAATTGAACAAAAAGAAAGGAAAGAAAAGAAAATGAAATAGAACAGAAAGAAAGAAAAAGACGGAATTGATCTTGGAAAAGAAAGAATCGATTGATAGAGAATATATAAAGAATAAAATGAATGAAGAAAGAGAAAAGAAAGAAAAGAAAAAGAAAGAAAGAAATTGAAATAAAGAAAAAAATTGATCACAAAAAACAAGGAAAAGAAAGAATCATTTGATAAGAATAAAATAAAAAAATGAAAAGAAAGAAAGAAAGAAAGAAAGAAAGAAAGGTAAGAAAGAAAACGGAATTGAAAAGAAAAAAAACAAGGAAAAGAAAGAAACTCGATTGATAGAGAATATATAATAAAACAAGAAAGAAAGAAAAAAGAAATTCAGAAAGAAAGAAAGAAAACACCTGCGGAATTGATCACAAAAAGACAAGGAAAAGAAAGAATCGGATTGAAGACAAAAAAACAATAAAACTGAATCAAAGAAAGAAAGAAAGAAAGAAAGAAAAAAGAAAGAAAGAAAGACGGAATTGATCACAAAAAGACAAGGAAAAAGAAAGAATCGATTGGATAGAGAATATATAAAATGAATAAAATGAATGAAAGAAAGAAAGAAAGGAAGAAAGAAAAAAGAAAGAAATTGGTCAAAAAAGACAAAAAAGAAAGAATCGATTGATGTATAAAAGAATAAAATGAATGAAGAAAGAAAGAAAGAAAGAAAGAAAGAAAGAAATTCAGATAATTGAAAAAAAGACAAGGAAAAGAAAGAATCGATTGAAAGAGAATATTGGGATAAAATGAATGAAAAAGAAAAAAGAAAAGAAAGAAAAAATTGGAATTGATCAATCAATTGTATATAAAGAAATGAAGAAAGAAAGAAAGCCAGAAAGAAAGAAAGAAAGACGTAAATCACAAAAAGACAAGAAAAGAAAGAATCGATTGGATAGAGAATACAAAAAGAATAAAATGAAAAGAAAGAAAGAAAAAGAAAGAAAAGAAAGAAAGAAAAAAGACAAGGAATTGATCACAAAAAAAATCAAGGAAAAGAAAGAATCGATTGATAGAGAATATATAAAGAATAAAATGAAAAGAAAGGGATAAAGAAAAAAAGAAAAGAAAGAAAAAAAGACGGAATTGATCACAAAAAATCAAGGAAAAGAAAGAATCGATTGATAGAAATATAAAGAATAAAAAGAATGAAGAAAGAAAGAAAAACAAAAATAAAGAAAGAAAGACAAGAAAATTGTCCCAAAAAATCAAGGTAAAAAAGAATCGAATACCTTGTCTTAGAAAAAAATCAATGAAGAAAGAAAGAAAGAAAGAAAGCATCTGAAAGACATTGGGATAAAAAGACAAAAAAGAAAAATCGGAAACTGAATCCCAAAAAATCAATGTAAATAAGAAGAACACCTTGTCTAAGAAATTCAGATAAAGAAAGGAAAAGCCAGAGGATAGAGAATATCTGAAAATTGGGAAAAAAAGAAAAAAGAAAAGGAAGACGGGTCCCAAAAAATCAAAGGAAAAGAAAGAATCGATTGTCTTAGAAATATATAAAGAATAAAAAGAATGAAGAAAGAAAGAAAGAAAGAAAGGGATCAAGAAAAAAAGAAAGACGGAATTGATCCCAAGGAAAAGAAAGAATCATTGATAAGAATATAAAAAGTCTTAAAATGAATGAAGATAGAAAAGAAAGAAAGAAAGAAATCTGAAAGATTGGGATCAAAAAGACAAAAAAGAAAGAACTGATTGGATAAAGAATCAATGAATAAAAAGAACACCTTGAAAGAAATTCAGAAAGAAAGAAAAAGAGAAAGAAATCTGAAACACGGAATAATACAAAAAAGACAAGGAAAAGAAAAGAATCATTGGATAAGAATATAAAAGAATAAAATGAATGAAGAAAAAGAAAGAAAGAAAGAAAGAAAGAAAGAAAGAAAGACGGAATTGATCACAAAAAATCAAGGAAAAGAAAAGAATCGATTGGATAGAGAACATTGTCTTAATAAAATGAATGAAGAAAGAAAGAAAAAAGAAAGAAAGAAAGAAAGAAAGAAAGAAAGAAAGACGGAAACATGATCACAAAAAAAAGACAAGGAAAAGAAAGAATCGATTGGATAGAGAATATAAAAGAATAAAATGAAAAGAAGAAAGAAAGAAAGAAAGAAAGAAAGAAAGAAAAAAAGAAAAAGACGGAATTGATCCCAAAAATTCAAGGAAAAGAAAAGAATCGATTGATAGAAAGAATATAGGGTAAAGAATCTGAAAATTGAATGAAGAAAAAAAGAAAGAAACTGGTCCCAAAGAAAGAAAGAAAGAAAGAAATGTATAAAAAGAAAGGAAAAGAAAGAACCTTGTCTTAGAAATTAAAGAATAAAAAGAAGAAGCCAGAAAGAAAGAAAGAAAGAAAGAAAGAAACATTGGGATCAAGAAAAAAAGAAAAAGAAAGAAACTGGTCCCATAAAATATATAAAGAATAAAATGAATAAGAAAGAAAGAAAAGAAAGAAAGAAAAAAGAAAGAAAAGAAAGAAAAGAAAGAAAAGAAAGGAATTGATCAAATGAATGAAAAAGACAAGGAAAAGAAAGAATCGATTGATAGAGAATATATAAAGAATAAAATGAATGAAGAAACAAAGAAAGAAAGAAAGAAAGAAAAAAAAGACAGAATTGATCCCAAAAAATCAATGAAAAAGAAAGAATCGATTGGATAGAAAATATATAAAGAATAAAATGAAGGAAGAAAGAAAGAAAGAAAGGGATCAAGAAAAAAAGACAAGAATTGATCCCAAAAAATCAAGGAAAAGAAAGAATCGATTGTCTTAGAAATATAAAGAATAAAAGGCCAGAAGAAAGCAAAAGAAAATTGGGAAAAGAAAAAAAACAAAAAATTGATCCCAAAAAAACAAGGGTCCCAAAGAATATATAAAGAATAAAATGAATGAAGAAAGAAAGAAAGAAAGAAAGAAAGAAAAAAAAAAGAAAGAATTGATCACAAAAAAAGACAAGGAAAAAAAAAATCGATTGGATAGAGAATATATAAAGAATAAAATGAATGAAGAAAGAAAGAAAGAAAGAAAGAAAGAAAAGAAAGACGGAATTGATCACAAAAAGACAAGGAAAAGAAAGAATCGATTGGATAGAGAATATATAAAGAATAAAATGAATGAAGAAAGAAAGAAAGAACGAAAGAAAAAAAGAAAGACGAATTGATCAAAAAAATCAAAGGAAAAGAAAGAATCGATTGGATAGAGAATATATAAAAGAATAAAAAATGAAGAAAGAAAGAAAGAAAAAAGAAAGAAAACAAAAAGAAAGAAATTGATCACAAAAAGACAAGGAAAAGAAAGAATCGATTGATAGAAATTATAAAGAATAAAATGAAAAGAAGAAAAGAAAGAAAAAAGGAAAAAGATGGGATCAAAAAAAAAAGGAAAAGAAAAATGGATAAATAATAAAGAATAAAAATGAAGAAAGAAAGAAAGAAAGAAAGAAAAAAGAAAGAAAATTGATCACAAAAAAGAAAGGAAAAAAAAGAATCGATTGATAGAGAATATATAAAGAATAAAATGAATGAAGAAAAGAAAAAAAAGAAAGAAAGAAAGAAAAAAAGAAAGAAAGAAAGACGGAATTGATCACAAAGAATCAAGGAAAGAAAGAATCGATTGGGAAATAAAAAGAATAAAATGAAAAAGAAAAAGAAACATTGAAGAAAGAATCAATGAGAATATAATGTAGAATAAGAAGAACACCTTGTCTTAAGAAATTCAGAAAGAAAGAAGGAATTGATCACAAAAAGACAAGGAAAAGAAAGAATCGATTGGGATAAATAAAGAATAAAAAATGAAGAAAGAAAGAAAGAAAGAAAAAAAAGAAAGAAAGAAAGACAATTGATAATAAAGAACACCTTGTCTTAGAAATATATAAAGAAAAAATGAATGAAGAAAGAAAGAAAGAAAGAAAAGAAAGAAAAAAGGGATAAAGATCAAAAACAAGGAAAAAGAAAGAAATTGATAGAGAATATATAAAGAATCAATGAATGAATAAAGAAAGAACAAAGAAAGTCTTAAAGAAATTCAGAAAGAAAGAAAGACGGAATTGATCCAAAAAGACAAGGAAAAGAAAGAAACGATTGGATAAAGAATATAAAAAGAATAAAATGAATGAACTGGTCCCAAAAAATCAAAAAAGAAAGAAAAAAGAAGAATTGATCTTAAAAAGAATCAATAGAAAAAGAAAGAATCGAGAGGGATAGAGAATCTGAAACATTGGGATAAAACAAAAAAAAACAAAAAAACTGAAAAAAGAAAGAAAAGAAAGAAAGAAAGAAAGAAAGAAAGACGTTGAAGAAAAACAAGGAAAAGAAATTCGATTGATAGAAATATATAAAGAATAAAATGAATGAAGAAAGATCTGAAAGAAAGGGAAAAAAAACAAAAAAACAAGGAATTGATCCCAAAAAGACAATGAAAAAAAAGAATCGATTGATAGAGAATATATAAAGAATAAAATGAATGAAGAAAGAAAGAAAGAAAGGAAGAAAAAAGAAAAGAAAGACGGAATTGATCACAAAAAGACAAGGAAAAGAAAGAATCGATTGGATAGAGAATATATAAAGAATAAAATGAATGAAGAAAGAAAGAAAGAAAGAAAGAAAGAAAGAAAGAAAGAAAGACGGAATTGATCACAAAAAGACAAGGAAAAGAAAGAATCGATTGGATAGAGAATATATAAAGAATAAAATGAATGAAGAAAGAAAGAAAGAAAGAAAGAAAGAAAAAAAAGAAAGAAAGAATTGACAGCATCTATAAAAAGAATAAAAATGAATGAAAAAGACAAAAAAGAAAAAAAAAGAAAGACTTGATCCCAAAAAGAATCAAGGAAAAAAAGAATCGATTGGATAGAGAATATAAAAGAATAAAAATGAATGAAGAAAGAAAGAAAGAAAGAAAGAAAGAAAAAAAAGAAAGAAAGAAACATTGGGATAAAAAAAACAAAAAAAAGGAAACTGGTCCCAAATAATAAATGAATAAGAAAAGAAAGAAAGAAAGAAAGAAAAAAGAAAGAAAGACGGAATTGATCATAAAAAAGACAAGGAAAAAAAGAATCGAGAAGAGAATATATAAAGAATAAAATGAATGAAACATTGGGATAAAAAAAAGAAAAAAAAAAAGGAAATTGATCCCAAAAAAGAATCAAAAAAAAGAAAATTGATAGAAAAAAAGAAAGAAAGAAATTCAAATAAAAAAAAAGACAAAATTGATCAAAAAAGACAAGGAAAAGAAAGAATCGATTGGATAAAGATATATAAACAATAAAATGAATGAAAGAAAGAAAGAAAGAAAGAAAGAAAGAAAAGAAAGAAAGACCTTGTCTTAAAAGAAAGGAAAAAGAAAGAATCGAAAGAGAATATATAAAGAATAAAATGAATCTGAAAGAAAGAAAGAAAAAAACAAAAAAAAAGAAGGAATTGATCCCAAAAAATCAAGGAAAAATAAAGAACACCTTTGTCTTAGAAATATCAAAGAATAAAAATGAATGAAGAAAGAAAGAAAGAAAGAAAAACAAAGGGAGAAAAGAAAAAAAGACAAAAAGAAAAAGGAAAATGGATCACAAAAAATCAAGGAAAAGAAAGAATCGATTGATAGAGAAATATAAAAGAATAAAAAAAGAATGAAGAAAGAAAGAAAGAAAAAGAAAGAAAAGAAAAAAAGACAAAACTGATCCCAAAAAATCAAGGAAAAGAAAGAATCTTGTCTAGAGAATATATAAAGAATAAAAATGAATGAAGAAAGAAATCTGAAAGAAAGAAAGAAAGAAAGAAAAAAAGAAAGAAATTGATCACAAAAATCAATGGAAAATAAAAGAATCACTTGGATAGAGAATCTTAGAAAGAATAAAATGAAGAAAGAAAGAAAGAAAGCCAGAAAGAAAAAAGAAAGACGGAATTGATCAAAAAGACAAAAAAAAGAATCGATGGGATAAATATAGAAAGAATAAAATGAATGAAGAAAGAAAAAGAAAGAAAGAAAGAAAGAAAGAAAGAAAAAAAGAAAGACGGAATTGATCAAAAAAAAGACAAGGAAAAGAAAGAATCGATTGATAGAGAATATATAAAGAATAAAATTCAGAAAGAAAGAAAGAAAGAAAGAAAGAAAGAAAAAAAGACAAAAAAGAAAAGGAAAAATTGATCAAAAAAGACAAGGAAAAAAAAAGAATTGTCTTGAAAAGAAAGAAGAGGAAATATCTGAAAGAATTGGGAATAAAGAAAAAAAGACAAGAAAGAAAGAAAGAAAAAAGAATCAATTGATCACAAAAAGACAAGGAAAAAAAAGAATCTTGATAGAGAATATAGAAAGAATAAAATGAATGAAGAAAGAAAAGAAAGAAAGAAAGAAAGGGAAAAAAAAAAAGAAAGAAAATTGATCCCAAAAAAGACAAGGAAAAAAAAGAATCACCTTGGATAGAGAATATATAAAGAAAAAAATGAATGAAGAAAAGAAAGAAAGAAAGAGCAAGAAAAACAAGACGGATTGAGACAAAAAAGACAAGGAAAAGAAAGAATCGAAAGAATCAATATATAAAAGAAGAAAACCTTGTCTTAGAAATTCAGAAAGAAAGAAAGAAAGAAAGAAAGAAAGAAAGATCTGAATTGATCACAAAAAAGACAAAAAGAAAATTGAAAGAACTGGTCCCAAAGAATCAATGTATAATAAAAGAATACCTTGAAAGAAATTCAGAAAAGAAAGAAGGCCAGAGAGAATTGCATCTGAAAATGAATTGGGAAAAGAAAAAAGAAAAAGAAAGAAAGAAACTGGATCCCAAAAAAGAATCAAAAGAAAGAATAATAAGAAATAAAAAGAATAAAAAGAAATTCAAAGAAAGAAAGAAATTGATCACAAAAAGCATCTGAAACATTGGGAAAAAAGACAAAAAACAAGAATATTGATAGAGAATCCCAAAGAATCAATGAATAATAAAGAAAGAAAGAACAAAAAAGTCTTAAAGAAAATTGAGATAAAAAACAAGGAAAAAAAAGAATCGATTGGATAGAGAATCTAAAGAATGGGATAAAGAAAAAAGAAAGAAAGAAAGAAAAAAAGTCCCCAAAAAAGACGGAATTGATCATCAAAAAAGACAAGGAAAAGAAAGAATCTTGTCTTATAAAGAATATATAAAGAATAAAAGAATGAAGAAAGAAAGCAAGAAAGAAAGAAAGAAAGAAATAAAAAAGACAAAAAAGACAAGGGAAACTGATCCCAAAGAAAAAATGACAAGGAAAAGAAGAACACCTTGTCTTGGAGAAGAATTATAAAGAATAAAATGAAAAGAAAGAAAGAAAGAAAGAAAGCCAGAAAGGGAATTGATCAGCAAAAGACAAGGAAAGAAAGAATTTGGGAATAAATAAAGAATAAAAAATGAAGAAAAAAAAGAAAGAAAGAATCAAAGTATAATAGTAAGAACACCTTGTCTTAGAAAAAAAGACAAGGAAAAGAAAGAATCGAGAGGAGAATATATAAAGAATCTGAAAAGAAAGGGAAAAAAAAGACAAAAAAAAAGAAAGACGGAATTGGTCCCAAAAAGAATCAAAGAAAGAATAATAAGAATAACACCTTAAAATTAGAAATTCAGATAGAAAGAAAGAAAGAAAGAAAGAAATCTGAAAGATTGGAATAAATCACAAAAAAGACAAGGAAAAAGACACCTTTGTCTTAGAAATTCAAAAAAGAAAGAAACCATTGATAATTGGGATAAAGAAAAAAGAAAGGAAATTGAAAGAAAGAAGAAGAAAGAAAGAAAGAAAGATCTGAAAAGATTGGAATTGATCAAAAAAAGACAAAAAAGAAAGAATCGATTGGATAGAGAATATATAAAGAATCAAATGAATGAATAATAAAGAAAGAAAGAAAGAAAGTCTTAAAGAAATTCAGATAAAAAGAAGGCCAAAAAATCAATTTACAGAATCATCTGAAAAGAATGGGATGAAGACAAAAAGACAAAAAAGAAACTGGTCCCAAAGAATCAATGTATAATAAGAAGAACACCTTGTCTTAGAAATTCAAGATAAAAAGAAAGAAAGCCAGGAAAGAAGAATCTGAAAAGAAAGAAAGACGGAATGGGATAAAGACAAAAAAAGACAAGGAAATTGGAATCCCAAAGAATCAATGTAAGAAAGGGAAAAAGAAAGAACAAGAAAGAATTGTCTTAGAAATTCAGATATTCAAAAAAAAGGCCAGAGGGTACAGCAAGAATCTGAAAAGACAAAAAAAAAAGACAAAAAACAAAGAAACTGGTCCCAAAGAATCAATGTATAATAAGAAGAACACCTTGTCTTATAATAGAAAAAGAAAGATAGAAGAAAGAAGGCCAGAGGGTACAGCAAGACAAGAAAGATTGGGATAAAGACAAAAAGACAAGGAAACTGGTCCCAAAGAATCAATGTATAATAAGAAGAAAAAGACCTTGTCTTAGAAATTCAGATAGAAAAATGAAGGCCAGAGGGTAAGAGCATCTGAAACATTGGGATAAAGACAAAAAACACAAGGAAACTGGTCCCAAAAAGAATCAATGTATAATAAGAAGAACACCTTGTCTTAGAAATTCAGATAGAAAGAAGGCCAGAGGGTACAGATCTGAAAGATTGGGATAAAAAGACAAAAAGAAAAGGAAATTGCATCTGAATCAATGTAAGAAAGAAGAATAGAGAATACCTTTGTCTTAGAAATTGAGATAGAAAACAAGGAGATAAAGACAAAAAAAAGACAAAAAAAGGAAACTGGTCCCAAAGAATCAATGTATAATAAGAAGAACACCTTGTCTTAGAAATTCAGATAGAAAGAAGGCCAGAGGGTAAGCATCTGAAACATTGGGATAAAGACAAAAAAAAGACAAGGAAACTGGTCCCAAAGAATCAATGTATAATAAGAAAGAACACCTTGTCTTAGAAATTCAGATAGAAAAAAGGCCAGAGGGATAAAGACAAAAGACATCTGAAAGATTGGGATAAAGACAAAAAGATAGAAAATGACAAGGAAACTGGTCCCAAAAAGAATCAAAGTATAATAAGAAGAACACCTTGTCTTAGAAATTCAGATAGAAAGAAGGCCAGAGGGAGAATACAGCATCTGAAAGATTGGGATAAAGACAAAAAAAAGACAAGGAAACTGGTCCCAAAGAATCAATGTATAATAAGAAAGAACACCTTGTCTTAGAAATTCAGATAGAAAGAAAGAATGAAGGGTAAAAACAAGAAAAAGAAAGAAAGAAAGAAAGCATCTGAAAGATTGGGATAAAGACAAAAAAGACAAGGAAACTGGTCCCAAAGAATCAATGTATAATAAGAAGAACACCTTGTCTTAGAAATTCAGATAGAAAGAAGGCCAGAGGGTACAGCATCTGAAAGATTGGGATAAAGACAAAAAAGACAAGGAAACTGGTCCCAAAGAATCAATGTATAATAAGAAGAACACCTTGTCTTAGAAATTCAGATAGAAAGAAGGCCAGAGGGTACAGCATCTGAAAGATTGGGATAAAGACAAAAAAGACAAGGAAACTGGTCCCAAAGAATCAATGTATAATAAGAAGAACACCTTGTCTTAGAAATTCAGATAGAAAGAAGTCCAGAGGGTACAGCATCTGAAAGATTGGGATAAAGACAAAAAAAAAGACAAGGAAACTGGTCCCAAAGAATCAATGTATAATAAGAAGAACACCTTGTCTTAGAAATTCAGATAGAAAGAAGGCCAGAGGGTACAGCATCTGAAAGATTGGGATCAAGACAAAAAGACAAGGAAACTGGTCCCAAAAGAATCAATGTATAAATAAGAAGAACACCTTGTCTTAGAAATTCAGATAGAAAGAAGAAAGAAGAGGGTACAGCATCTGAAAGATTGGGATAAAGACAAAAAAAAAGACAAAAAAAAGAAACTGGTCCCAAAGAATCAATGTATAATAAGAAGAACACCTTGTCTTAGAAATTCAGATAGAAAAGAAGGCCACAGGGTACAGCATCTGAAAGATTGGGATAAAGACAAAAAAGACAAGGAAACTGGTCCCAAAAAATCAATGTATAATAAGAAGAACACCTTGTCTTAGAAATTCAGATAGAAAGAAAAGCCAGAGGGTACAGCATCTGAAAGATTGGGATAAAGACAAAAAAGACAAGGAAACTGGTCCCAAAGAATCAATGTATAATAAGAAGAACACCTTGTCTTAGAAATTCAGATAGAAAGAAGGCCAGAGGGTACAGCATCTGAAAGATTGGGATCAAGACAAAAAAGACAAGGAAACTGGTCCCAAAGAATCAATGTATAATAAGAAGAACACCTTGTCTTAGAAATTCAGATAGAAAGAAGGCCACAGGGTACAGCATCTGAAAGATTGGGATCAAGACAAAAAAGACAAGGAAACTGGTCCCAAAGAATCAATGTATAATAAGAAGAACACCTTGTCTTAGAAATTCAGATAGAAAGAAGGCCAGAGGGTACAGCATCTGAAAGATTGGGATAAAGACAAAAAAGACAAGGAAACTGGTCCCAAAGAATCAATGTATAATAGTAAGAACATCTTGTCTTAGAAATTCAGATAGAAAGAAGGCCAGATAGTACAGTATCTGAAACATTGGGATAAAGTCAAAAAAGTCAAGGAAACTGGTCCCAAAGAATCAATATCTAACCCTAAAAAACTCTTTTTCTCAGAAATTTCAAATAGAAACGTGGCAGGTGATCTATGCGACCGAAAATATATGGTAAACGTAATATAAAGGATGAAAGTTGTTCAAAAAATGAATTTAAACTTTAAATACAAAATATGAAATGAATAAAGCGTAAATCTCGAAATCGAATGCGATTTTTGGTATTTTCATTTTGTTATAATTTTATTTTCGATGATGTTTCGTGTTTGTATCTATTTTGATCTTTTGTCCTTTAATATTTTTGCTCTTTTCTTTAGTTCCCTGTTTATTCCAGACGTCTATGGTCATTTCGGACAGTCGTCGGATAATGTCAAAGAATTAGCCACCAGACCGTCCAAAGTAGAAGAAACACACATACACACACGCGCGCGCGCGCACACACACACACACACACACACACACACACACACACACACACACACACACACACACACACACAAGCGCAATAGACTTCTTTCTCTTGGCCTTGCAGCCAAATCATACACGCATGCGTCTTTTCCTGCCCAACCATAATAACTACAATCGGTGGGGAGGGTGGTAGGGGAAGTGAGGAGGAGGGAGAGAGAGAGACGCGCCAGTCGAAATAAACAGTGGCTTAAGACAATTCTTGGAAGTCAGCCGAAAGAGTCAATTTGACACAGACAGACGCAACAGAGTTTGAGGTTGTGGAAGTGGCGAGGAAAGAGCCTGGAAGCCTCGTTGATACCTCGGACTTCGATCAATAGAACATTGCGAAGAAAGAATAAAGGATATGGTGGAAGAAGAATGGAGAGAAAAAGGAAAGGGCGGGATAAAGTGAAGCGAAAAAAAAAAAGAGAGATGGAGAAATTCAATTCAACAGTTATAGGATGATGAGTGAATGGAAGAATGAATGTAAGTATGGTGAAAGAGAGGCGGAAAAGTAAATAAAGAAGACTAAAAAGAAAAGTGAAATGCTGAAAAACACAGGCGTCAATTAAAATATGACAAGACTTGTGAAAGAAAGAAAGAAAGAAAGAAAGAAAGAAAGAAAGAAAGAAAGAAAATGGAAATAAAAGAGGTAGACAGTTAGAAGTTATGAATAGAAAAAAATGAAGAACGGGGAAATAAAAAGAAAGAAAGAAGAAAAAAGAAAGAAAGAAATCAGGTAAGAGAGTATGCCAAAGAAAGAAAGAAAAAATAACGAAAGCAATCATGGAAGAGAATATAAGAAAGAAAGAAAGAAAGAAAGAAAGAAAGAAAGAAAGAAAGAAAGAAAGAAAGAAAGAAAAAAATGGAAATAAAAAAGGTAGACAGGTAGAAGTTATGACTAGAAAAAAAAAAAATGAAGACCGGAAAATTAAAAAGAAAGAAAGAAGAAAAAAAGAAAGAAAAATGAAAGAAAACAATCATGGAAGATGCTATGAGAAAGAAAGAAAGAAAGAAAGAAAGAAAGAAAGAAAGAAAGAAAGAAAGAAAGAAAGAAATCAGGGAAGAGAGTATGCAGAAGAAAGAAAGAAAAAATAACGAAAGCAATCATGGAGGAGAATATAAGAATGAAAGAAAGAAAGAAAGTAATGAAAAAAAGCGGAAAGAAAAAAAAACGTAGAGAGCTAGAAGTTATAAATAGAAAAAGAAAGTATGTAGACCGGAGAAATAACAAAAAAGAAAGAAAGAAAGAAAGAAAGCATTATGGAAGATATTATGAGAAAGAAAGAAAAAAAAGAAAGAATGATAGAAGGCAGGGAAGAGAGAATGCAAAAGAAAGAAAGAAAAAATAACGAAAGCAATCATGGAAGAGAATATAAGAAAGAAAGAAAGAAAGAAAGAAAGAAAGAAAGAAAGAAAGAAAGAAAAAAAAAATGGAAATAAAAAAGGTAGACAGGTAGAAGTTATGACTAGAAAAAGAAAGAATGAAGACCGGAAAATTAAAAAGAAAGAAAGAAGAAAAAAAGAAAGAAAAATGAAAGAAAACAATCATGGAAGATGCTATGAGAAAGAAAGAAAGAAAGAAAGAAAGAAAGAAAGAATGAATGAATGAAATCAGGGAAGAGAGTATGCAGAAGAAAGAAAGAAAAAATAACGAAAGCAATCATGGAAGAGAATATAAGAAAGAAAGAAAGAAAGAAAGAAAGAAAGAAAGAAAGAAAGAAATCGAAGAAGAGCGTATGTGAAAAATAGAATAAGTGGAATGCGAAAGAAAGCAAGAGAGAAAGAAATAAAGAAAGAAACAATTAAATTAGGGAAGAGGGTATGTGAAAGAAAGAAAGAAAGAAAGAAGATAGAAAGAAACAAAAAACATATCTTTATTGTGAGCAGAGAGTAAATTCTGTGAAAATCGACTGTTGATTATTATTGACTTCAACCCATTTCGATACAACGGCTTATCAATGAAGCCTCCCCCCCCAATCTTTTGCCCGTTGGACGGAGTCAGATTCACTGTTCAAAAGTTTTTTTAAAAAAAAAGAAAAAAAAAAAAGAAAGAAAGAAAGAAAAGCTTCTAACATTTTGGGTACAAGTGATTTTATTACTACTTATTATTCATTTCGTTCAATCATTTCTTCAGTTTTCCTTGTGTGTATTACGTGGGGGGGGTGACCCTTGCCACTTATTCCATACACATGAGAAGGGCCGAAGAATAGGTGAGCCGATATGTTTCATTAACCCAAACAAAAAGAATTAGATCAATGATCCGAAAAACGGTTTCTTTGGAAAGCTAGAAACGCTGATGTGCGGGCGCGTTTGTGTGTATGTTTCATTGATTAATATAGACATATTGTGTCTATTTATTTCGATACTGAACCTTTCTCATTGTCCAATCAGTTTCTTGATGCTGAGATGAAATTAAACAAGGAAGGCTCCGTAGTTTTTTTTGTTTTTTTTTCTTTTTTATCTAAGCACTTTCGATCTTTTCCAAGATCATCTTCAGGGGTAACTTACAAAGACAATTTTATTGTAACTACGATAAAATCTACATTCCGTTCTTATAGTAATTTTTAAAAACACACGCGAACGTGCTCTGCAAATATTTGAAAATTTTAAATTTATCCGTTGTAGCTATGGAATTTTTTGCAAACAAGTGTCCCAATATAAAGAAGCCGACTGGAAATTGCTAGAAATGCAAAATAGCATTAAATGTTTGTTAAATGCACTTCACTATGTTGGTGTTACACGCGTAATAAATTTTGTTGAGTGTTGGTTGGTTAATTTTGAAATAGATTTTGTTTAAGTACACACAATGAAAGCTACAAAAGCTACAAAAGTCGAATTGAGTCCGAATTGAAGACTCATTTAGACACACACGGGCGCTTAACCAAACTCCATCTACAACATATTTGTAGAAAATACAAGGATAATATCCTCATCCACATGTAGGAAAAAACTAAAAATAACGGAAGCACTAATAATAAAAAAGAAAAAGCAAACACTCAATAATATGAACACGGCTAGAATGTGCTGACCGTGTTTGGAAAAAAATCGTATCACTCTAGAAACATAAAAAAAAATTCACACATTCAGTTAAAAATGAAAAATAATACAAAAAAATCCTTGTTAATGGCTAACAGAATAGCCGAAAGCGCTGGGATATGCAGAACATTTGAACTATTTTTACACATTTTATGTTCAGAAAACACCCATGCAAACACAAGAAAAATTAAATAACAAGCTTAATCGGGATGCCTTGTCAATTGTCTCTCATGAAACTTGTATAAAAGGAAGATTGCTGCCCAAATATACTATTATATATATATATATATATATTTATTAAAGACATTTTTTTTTATTTATGTTTAACGTTGTATTTTTATAGATACAAGTATTTAAGCAAATGCTCTGTTTATGATAAACAGTATTAAATAACATTTACCGGCCTGAATGTCCGAGAAATTTTCATAGAAAATATTCGTTCATAGACAGGATTCGAACCTGCATCCTATACGGAACCGTCATATACGCTGACGTGCCTTAACCACTCGGCCACCATGAACCTTATGGTAGACAAGGTCGAATTTACTGTTATAAACTACAATCTTCCATGAATCTCGTACATTCATAACTGCTCTGGCGTATCGAATGTAAACAAATGACGTCATATGTTAAGAAATGGACGAATCCTGTCTATGAACGAATATTTTCTATGAAAATTTCTCGGACATTCAGGCCGGTAAATGTTATTTAATACTGTTTATCATAAACAGAGCATTTGCTTAAATACTTGTATCTATAAAATAACAACGTTAAACATAAATAAAAAAAAAAATGTCTTTAATAAATAAATTGTCGGACCTCGTCCATTTCTTAACATATATATATATATATATATATATATATATATATATATACACACACCATATATATATCCATACACACGCACCGTATATATATATATATATATATATATATATATATATATATATATATATATATATATATCCATAAACGCACATACACACACATATATATCCAAACACACACATATATATATATATATATATATGAAAGTATTTATTTGATATTTTTTTTAACAACATTTAAAATATTATTACAGTTAGTAATATTCGAACACAGTGGCGGTATCATCATTTCAACTTAGGGCTAAAGAGATGGATTAGAAAAGATCCAACTAGGTAGCCATTATCAAGGATGAATTTTATTTTACTTTAACTGAATATATGGATTGTTTTATGTATGTATATAGAGTTCTAGAATTTTTTTCCAAACACGATCAACACATTGTGGCCGTGTTCGTAGTTGTTGATATTAATGAGTGTTGGCTTTTTAATTTAAAAGAGGGATCAATACAGAGTAGATCTAAACATTTATTTTAGGATATTAAAACATGTTAAAAATCGCTACATAATGGCAATTAAGTTTCAACACTACAAATGTGTCTGCTTTTTAAAGTAAATTAATGTTTCCCTCGCCAGTAGTTCAAGATCGCCTGAGGAGATATAGCTGTAGTGTTGAAACATAATTCCCATTATGTAGCAATTTTTAACATGTTTTAATATCCTGAATATATATATATATATATATATATATATATATATATATATATATATATATATATGTGTATATATATGAAGAAAAAATATACTGAAAAAATCCTAATGTGCGATTATGTTGTTTTAATGTTTAATGTCAACGTCGGACGTTTCGGTCTAATAGACCATCTTTCAGGACATATTCATAAAAAACATAATTAACGTAGACCATATTCAATATATATATATATATATATATATATATATATATATATATATATATATATATATATATATATATAAAATTAACTGATTTAAAATAGGGTTTCTTCGCTACACAGGAATTACCATGTTTCAAAAACTGAAGTTAAAAACTTCAAATTTAATTATATAATTAAATTAAAAGCATTAGTTTTGTTTTATTTTCAATCGAAGAGAGAGTGGGGAGGGGTAAGGGAAGAGAGATGAATATAGAGTAGTAAAATGAAAAGAAAGCGGGAAGAAAGAAGTAAGAAAGGAAGAGAGAGAGAAACACAGAGAGAAAGGAGAGAAAAAAAAAGAAATGATAGGTAATAAAAAAAGAGGAAGGAGATAAAGAAGCAGAAGAAAAAAGAGAGAAACATAGTGTGTGTGTGTGTGTGTGAAAGAGAGAGAGAGAGAGTGGGTGAGAATGTGTGTGTGTGTGTGTGTGTGTGAGAAGCAGCGAGAGAGAGAAGAGAAGAAATGATAGTAAAAAATTTAAGAGAGTAGAAAATGATAGTGGAAAAAGAGAAAGTAGAAAAGAAGGAGAGAGAGAGAGAGAGGAGAGAAGAGAAAAAGGAAATAAAAAGAGAAAGACGTAGAAAAAAGTTCTAGATAAATAGAGAGAGGGGGGGAGAAAAAATTAGCAGAAATGAAAAGCGAGGAGAACAATGAAGAAGAAGAAGAAGAAGAAGAAGAAGAAGAAGAAGAAGAAGAAGAAGAAGAAGAAGAAGAAGAAGAAGAGAAATTGAGAGCGTGGTAGAGGATGAATCGGAAATTGAAGGAATCAGAGAAAGAAGAATACAGAGGCAGAGGGAGAGAGGAGAAAAAAGAAAGAAAGAAAGAAAGAAAAGAAAGAAAGAAAGAAAGAAAGAAAGAAAGAAAAGGCATAAAATAAAGTGCAGCAAACAGTCTAGACTATTTAATTGCCTCTTCCCACCCGCGGTCCCAAACTACAATGTTTGCGTAGCAGGCCTTGATCATTCCTACTGCGTCATCAGTTGCTATTGCAAATACAAACTCGACGGCAACAATTAATAAATCGCTTTCTAAGCCATACGTCACGATACCGCACAACTTTGAGGCTATCCGAATAGATTTTTTCAAACTCTGGCGTTTAGACATCTTACAATAAACAGAAGGCAAATCTTAAGGACAGGTCAAAGTGACTTAAAAAAAAAAAAACAAAAAAAAAAGACAGTTTTGAATTGTGATTCTAAAAACCTGTGACATTAGTGGTAATGTTAATAACAGCCGTTTCATTATGAGGAAACATTCGCAATTTATTAACCGAGCCGCCAGTGCTCATTTTTTT